AAAATTGTACTCCGATGTCTCACTGATTGAGGAATGATGAAATGTTTGTTTTAAAGAAAACAAAACTTTTGAACCTAAAAAAAAAAAAAAAAAAAAGGAAAGAAAGACTCCTGGCCCAGGTTTAGCCCAGGATATATTCTTTATTAGAGCCAAAGTGATTACTGCAGAAGCCAGGGTGGATTTGATTTAAATCAAGCCGTTTGAAATCATGACTGAAATCACTAGTAAAAAGGCTTGGCTTAAATCAACTCGATTTAAATCATAATTTTTCTAGAGCAACTCTCATCTCTGCCCTGCGGCGTCTCCTCCTCTGACCCACTGTTGACTCACTGACATTGCAGAATTTACAGCCTCATGCCACATAACTAAGCTCCATTTCATGCTGAATAAATGAATTTATTAAACGTGGCACGACAAAACCGTGCTCGACTAAGCCGCGCCCGATTAAACCCGGTCGCCACATCAACGTGCAGAGTTCCAGAAACAAATTATTACTAAAATTTGATCAAAGCAATTTCAAATGGAATATTGGTGATCCAGGGCCAGTCTGGTGTTGGCATAAACAAGTCAGGCCTGACTAAACCAATTGCTGTAGCTGTGCAGTTGCTAGCTCGGTAGATTGAGGGTATGCCACGGACATAATATACCTTGACTTCAGCAAAGCATCCCAAATACATTCTCATGAAAAGGAGATATTCCAAGAGATCCTAATTATCTCCACAATGGATCCCCAGTTCAGCTCTCTCCTAAGCCCTGCGCTGTTCGACTTTACTAATAATCCTCTGATATGAGTGGGTAGAGGGCATGCTTAGACAGGTAAGAACCTATCCCATATCAGTGGCCGGCAAGAGCTGCATTCCAATACACATTCAGGCTGGCTTGATTCACCTGAAATAGTTTCACCTCACTCTGTCTTATTTACTTGCTGATAATCTGGAGTTGCTCCGGTATTTGACAGGGATGCCATTGAGAGGGGCCTGTCTTCCCTCTACTCCCATGCCCATCATCCCTGTCCTCTCCCTTCCCCCCCCTCCCATGCGCGCCTCTTTCCCGCCATGTCTACGATCCTGGCACTTTGGCCCAAATCCATCAGGCGCTTCCCCATTGGTCCACTGGAGGATGAACGTCACGGCTGGCTTTCCAGAGGAAGCTGCGAAGGAACGGATATCACAAACAATTGCCGCTCTAGGATGCCGCACTTGCTCTCCTTAACGGCCCAGGCGTTCCAGAGTTATGCTGGAAGATACACACAGAGGCACACACACACACCAGGGGTGTCTCCCCCTCACTCCCCAGTATTTGTTTCCAGAAGGTAAGTTATTTGTGTACCAAGTTTGGTTGAAATTGCTTGAGGCACTCCAGAGCTATGCTGGAACATACATATATGCTATATATAACGGATAAGAGCCTGTGGCCTAATGGTTAAGATGTCTGCCTAGTATGTAATATAGACCAGGTTCAAATCCCAGTAAGGGTAAGGCTAGCTGATGAGAGCTAAATAGCTTGAAATAGATCTATACTAGTCTCCCTTTATTTATTTATCAACACAAATAAAAACACACACACACAGAGAGACATATATATATAATATATATAATAAAAATAAATGAATAAATAATATAAATAAGTACATAAAATGTAAATAAATAAATAAACATAGAATAAAAATAAGAAAAGATAGATATAGAAGAAATATATTTTACTATTAATTTATGTATTTAACTTATTTGCTACCCATCTCCTTGCAAAGGGATTCTGGGGGGCTTCCACTGCGGAGTCTCCAACCATGGCAAGTTTAAGCCTGGAGGACTTCAACTCCCAGAATTCCCCAGCTGGCTTGCTTACAGCATTAAAAAATAAACATTCACGCTGTAAGAAAAATATTGCGAACAATTTTTAAAGGAACATAGGAACCCTTTGACCAGGCTCCACTTATACAGGCAATGCTTGACTTACAACAGTTCATTTAGTGCAGTGGTTCCCAAACTTGGCAACTTTAAGACTTGTGGACTTCAACTCCCAGAATTCTCCAGCCAGCTCTACAGAGCTGGCTGGAGAATTCTGGGNAGGGGTCGCCAGCCAGCATTGTCTGGTCGACGGCACCGGGAGGAGGCTCAACCTGTGCGATCTTATTGATCGTTGGGAGGTAAGTAACCAGGTCCTAGACCATGTAGGGCTTTAAAAGTAACGACTAGCACCTTGAAGATCTACCCCCAACCTTCTTCCAGCGACCCTCAGGCATGCTGCAATGACTTTTCAAGAACCCTGGAGTATTAAACACAGCTGATTTTTATTGATTTAAAAACATTTAAATCATTATTTGGGTTCCTGACGTTCAGCCGCGCTGGCGTCAAGTCACCCAGAGATCCGAGAAGAGACCAAGGACCTCTGCACCAATTTTCATAATACAAATCTCAATTGTTTTAGAACCAGGAGTTAAACCGTAGAGCCCGGGAAAGCCGAGAATTCAGCAGGGCAGGAAGAATTCAACAGACGGAGCTGCAAAAAGGGGGAAGCTGAGAGTGGAACACGGTGCCCTCCTCCTCCTCCACTCCCTCTTCGGAGGGGCAGAAGGGGAGGGGGATTAAAAAGGAGCAATCGTTTCTGTCTAGTTTTCGGAGCGGGGTCCCGAAAGGCGCCTCGTGCGTGTTGCAAAGCCGAGAGGGTTTTTTTGCGGAGGAGGATCGAGGGGAACCGTGTCAGCTGCCTATAGAAGCCCTCTGAGCCCCCCCCGGGCTTTGACCCCCCACACCTTCACAAGAAGGCATCGCACCACTCGCGCAGGCACCCGTGACAGTCTCTGGATTGTTTGGCGTTGGCTCCGCACGTGTCCTTCAGCCACTCGCGGAAGAGGTCTTCGTCCTTCTTCAGCACCAAGAACTGGCCCAGCACGACATAAGCCTGCAGACGTTGGAGGGAGCGGGGAGAAGGGAAAGGGAGGGCAGTGAGCAACAAGGATTGGCGTCACAGCATTAAAACAGGGGTGTCAAACTCAAGGGCTGCCCTGAAAACACCAAGCCAGTGAAAATGGAGTCCGGGAGGGACGCATCCAGCCTTTCAGAGATCTGTTTTCACTTGCAGAGGGCTGCAGGAGCCCCCCTAGGCCACCACAAGTGCCCCCCGACACAAGTGACATCGAGCTGGCCATGCTCCCCCCCCCCTCAGGTCAAACACAACCCTGATGCGGCCCTCAATGAAATCGAGTTTGACACCCCCTGGGGTAAGACAAAGCCACGGGAGGCTAAAGAGTCCTTGGATAGCGACATGGGCAGCACAGAAATGTAGTAGCTCAGTGGTTCCCAAACTTGGCGACTTTAAGACTTGTGGACTTCAACTCCCAGAATTCTCCAGCCAGCAGCGCTGATTTGATTGCACAGTTGCTGCCTTGCGGGGTGGGGGGCTTTTTTTAAACAGGTCCTTATTATACAGTTTTTTTTTATAAAGGTTGTAAATTGGAGAGTCATTTCTGTGTGACTGTATGAGTTTATGAATTTTGCACTGGAAAAGGAGCAATTATCCTTTTAGCCCGTGTCTCCTGGGGTCAGGATGGGCAAAGCATTGACCAATTCATGTCTCTTTCTTAGTTCTCGGTCTCCCCAGACAGGCCCTTCTGGTTGGGGCACCATCGGCTCTCCCCCTGGGACAGGCCGTGGAAAAGCGAGGCTGCTTTCCCCCAAAGCTACGGGGACCCCACCAAAACTTCTCAGGGGCTCAAAATGATTTATCCAGGAAAGGAAAGCAGCATCGCCCCCCATCCCTCCAGCTATGATCCAGGTTTGGCTTTCAGACGGAGGGGCCCGCAGGATACCTTGTCAAACCCTTTGTCTTCCAGCCTCTTGCCAAGGACGTCGCCAATCCCCGCTAACGTGCCAACCGGCTTCTCACCCATCGGCTCGGCCACAAAGTCCCGGTGCTTCTGGCTGGTTGTCATGTTGGCTGCTGCCTTGCCCTGGCTGGGAAGCGAGAGGTCGAGGGTCAGTCAGGAAAGAAAGACTCCTATCAAATGGACATTGAAAGTCACAAACTTAGCCGAGATGGCTAAAATATCAGCATATCTTAAAGATCACTCAAATGANCTCAAATTATCCTACCTTGGGGACATTATAGTCCCATAGACCTATTAGATCCCACAGATTAGGCCTCCTCCGAATTCCATCTACCGGCCAATGCCGGCTGTCGACCACCCGGAGGAGGGCCTTTTCTGTGGCTGCTCCGGCCCTCTGGAACGATCTCCCTGCGGAGATTCGGACCCTTGCCACCCTTCAGGCCTTCCGTATAGCCGTTGAGACCTGGCTATCCCAGCAGGCCTGGGGTTGTTGAGTTCCACCCCTACTCGAATTGGTTGTGCTTGTTGTGTTTTTTTTAATTGTTTGTATTGTTGTCCTGTTTTTGTCTTACTTTTTTGTATTGTTCCCCTCCCCTTGGCTTTTGTTCAGCCGCCCTGAGTCCCTTTGGGAATAGGGCGGCATACAAGTCGAATAAATCCAAATCCAATCCAATCCAATAAATTAATACCAATAATATTTCTAGTACTAGCTGCAAACAGAGAAAAAAGAAAGCAAGTAATATGCAAAATCCAGGTATGTTAACCAGACCACAGAGCCTGGAGGGCTACTTCAAGCCACAATCACATTTGACTTGCAGCTGTGGGTTGACCCTTTACTAGGATTGTGCTCGAGTTTAAACAACTGCAACTAATAGAGATTTATATTTTTTTATCAAGCAACTACTATAATACATTATGCAGGAATATAACTGCAAAATCCAACTGTTTAACTGGATAAGAATCTTAATATTTTTATTATGCTTTTAATGTTCTAATATATTTTCCAATATTTTTACTTGGCCCTCATGCTTTCAGTAAACAGAATGGTATTCTGGCAAGAGTTACCTTATATTGTTTGCTACCATCTCTCTGTGGAAGTTCTGTGCAGCTTATATAAAATACAGAAGACATATTAGGACCGTGATGGCGAACCTACAACACGCATGCCTGAAGTGGCACTGGGAGCCATGTTGCCTGGCATGCGCCCGTTCCTCTTCCGGGTTTCTCTCACACATGCACATGCGATGATCAGTTAGCCTTTGTGCGTACACCAGTGCCGGAAACCAGAAGAGCTGATCTTCTGTTTTCCAGCGTGAGTATGTGCAGTGGACAGCTGATCAGCACATGCACATGCGTGGAAGTAACCGGAAAACTCGGCCCGCATGCCCACGCCAGTAACCAGAAGTTCATTTTCTGGAGAGCACATGTCCCTTGGAAAGCTCCTCTTCCTGGCTGCAGCTCAAATGAGCACGGTGCCACAAGGGCGCACTCCCTTTTCAGCATTCTGGGCCGAAAAGGGTTGCCATCACTGTATTAGGTCATGTATATACAGTACCACAGGTTTCAAGTAGTTTGAGAATATGCCTGAATTTATCTTGGCCAATGGAGACTGAAGGGTGTAAAACGTTTCTTTTATCAATAATAGTTGTTTTGGGGTAAGAACCTCCTATTTTTCATGTTGATGTATTTTTTTTACCTTGTTCTTTGGCCAAAGAGTTCCAGACCAGCTTACACTCCCTTCACAAAATGGCTTCACCCTCAAATGTATAAGAAGCTTGCATGTATCATATAATCTGCTAGGAAATATTTTCTCAAAAAATATTTTATTCATTACATGTCAACTAGAAAAATAATCTCCATTACTTCCTATCCCCACCCTATTTTTGCAAAATATACCCTACTACAATATTGCAGCATCTTGTCCAGACCTTGCAATAATTTTGGTGTCAAGTTATCTTTTCCATTTGCCAAACCAGTGTCCTTTTTTTTTTCTATCTTCATTAAAGTAACCTAACCATTGTTACTTGGCAAAATATTAACCACCAAGAAAATAGGGGGAAATGATATATTGTTCACAAAGCATTTTTTTATTTTTATTTTTTTAAAACACCTCCAATGATGGAGCCCCCACAACTTCTGAAGGCAAGCAAAGTGAGTGGGGAAAGACAGATTATGTAGCAAAAAAAGGTAAAAGATTAGGCATGACTCATTTAATGACTGCATCGCTTAGCAATGGAAGTTCTGGCCCCAACTTTATTCATCCAGTTCATTTCATGCTGTGAAATTTGTCCATTGGCGAATATAGTCAAAAGTTTTATTGTAGCACCGGCCACTTTCAGTCACATCAAGAACTCTTCCCTTTATGGAGGTTGGTATTATTACCACCTTGCTCCAGAGTTCCCATTCCTGCTGCAACAATCTACACAAAACTTCCATTTGGCAGGTTGAGATGCTAAAGTTCTACAGTGCTTTGGGCAGATGGCCAATCCCCATCTTTTGACTACAAATGCAATGCTTCTGGAGCATCATGGCATCCTTCCACAGGGAATCAAAGCTTTTCATGGGCAAACTGGCCTTTGTTAAATGGGGAAGCAAGGATAAGGCAGGGGGCAAAGGCCGTTGTACTGGTAAGCTCCCAACTGCAGGGCTTCCCTATTGTCAACTGGGGGAAATGCCAGTCAACACAAGAGGGGACCTATACACACAATGCCGGGGTCATAAAGTCATTTTAAAAATCCAACCCTATTACAATTACTCACTTTTGTATCTATTAGTCAGCCCACTGAGTAAACCTGACCAGGAAATCAACTCCACAGGAAAGCTAGAACTACTTTTCTTCGTTTTTATTTATGGCTATAAGAGCAGTTATCTTGGCAATCTGATTGTTCAATGCCTCCTCTTCCTTCTTAATAGTTCAGTGAATTGGGGAAGTGTCTGCCTAAGCCACTTTCTTTCTGGACTTCAGAAAAAAATGTTTCAGTTCAGTTTACCTAGATAACAGATCCTGCATATCTCTTTTCCAGATCATCTTCCTTACTCTTTATATTACCATGTGCTAGGAAAACCTAAATATAGGCAATCTGGGGGAATAAGGAGAAATCTTCATGATCTGAACTTCCGCAACTCCAAGGATTTTTGGATCCTTTGCTACAATCAAGTACAGATATTTGATTTAACATAAGAAACAGAATTAAATACTGAAGTACACTAAACCCTTAGTTTATTAGACTTTAGATCATAAACTTCAGATATAATAATATTTTCATTCAGACCCACATTTAACAGATATTAAACCCAAATAATTCAATTGAGAGTACAGAATACATTAAATTACAATTTTACGGCAAATTATTACAGTTAACCAGTTACATAATAGCACACAGTGTAAACTGGTCCAAATGATATAAAATTAGATAAATAGACATAAATTATAATTTTAAAGCATGTAAAAATAACTTATATGTGATTCTTAGGTTATTAAAAACAGAATGAAATAATATTAAGAAGGAATAAAGTGTCAGCAATAGCATATAGATAAAATATATTTACTTAGGTTCTATAAACTAAATTAAGAATTCCAAAATATTGGTATATCAACTTTTTAACCTCCCAGATTAAGTAGTAGAGATGTCAGTGAGCTTCCATTAAAGGAAGACATTGGGGGATATTAAATATAAACAGATAAAGCCTCTCATCTATGCAGTTTCAAGCACCTCAGATTGTTGCTGAAATCTCTGTTCATATGCAAAGAGAAGTTGAGATATACTCCAAATAACAAATTGCCTGTCTCTCAGCTTTCTGTATATGGAAGGGAGTCAAAGTTGATTACTTCATTCTTGTATTGGCTTACTGGAACCTAAGTGGGGCTTATTTCCAAAATCATATTCTGCCATTTCTAGTAGCTAATACTAAAGTAAATGACAAATTGTATATTTATATAATAGCTGTAATGATTGAAGACTAGATTGACAGCTAAGGAAACAGGGCAGGGTGACACAGCAGCCAAAATGAAGGCAACTTTATAGAACATTACCAGTGTTGGAAGGGACCTTGGGGGCCTTTTAGTCCAATCCCTTGCTCAAGCAGGAAGCCCTATAACATTTCAGAAAAGTGGCTGTCTAGTCTTTTCCTGAAGATCTCCAGTGATGGAGCACCCACAACTTCCGAAGGCAAGCTTTTCCACTGATTGATTCTTCTCATTATCGGGAAATTTCTCCTTAGTTCTAGGTTGCTTCTCTCCTTGATTAGTTTCCATCCATTGGTACTTGTCTTGTATTCTAGTACTTTGGAAAATAAGGTGATCCCCTCTTCTTTTTGGCAGCCCTTCAGATATTGGAACACTGCTATCGTATCACCCCAAGTCCTTCTTTTTACTAGATTAGACATACCCAATTCCTACAACTGTTCTTTATATGTTTCAACCTCTAACCCCCTACTCATCTTTGTTGCTCTTCTCTGCACTCTTTTCAGAGTCTTAACATCTTTTTTATATCGTGGTGACCAAAACTAGATGCAATATTCTAAGTGTGATCTTACCAAGACCTTATAAAAGGGTACAATCCTAGCAGTGGTGGGATTCAAATAATTTAACAACCGGTTCTCTGCCTTAATGACCAGCTGGGTAGGCATGGCTCAATGGCCATGTGACTGGGTGGGCGTGACCAACTCAATGTCACTCATGTCGATGGGCGCTTTGCCTTAGCTCTTACAATGTAATAAGGGTTAACCGGAGAGGCAGTTTCTGTAAGCAGGGCAATAAAGATTAGGCTAGAAACAACACCAGGATGTTTCCTTCCTGCTTTCCTTACAGGATTAGCCCTGTAAAGTGGGGAAAAACAAAATATTTCTTCCAACAACCCGTTCTTCGAACTTCTTAGAAAGTTAACAACCGGTTCTCCCGGATGGGTTTTAATTGGCTGAATCCCACCACTGAATCCTAGGCAAGATTCATGCTTCAAAACTCAATTAAAGGAAATATTTCCACGCATGATAAGAGAGTTCTGCTCTGTTTCACTGTCTATCCCATTTTCTGAATCATTTTCTAAGAATACCAATCCTACTAGGCATCTACCATACTTGGGAATGAGTTCCATTAAACTCAAAAAGTTATTCCTAGAAGAGATGTAGGAAACCTTTACTAGGTAAAACAC